CTATTGAAAAGCTCTTGAAGACATGTTGATTCAGTGCTGCTGCGACCATAAATCTGTTGTTATTTCACACACATATTTATCAACACCTGCAGCACTCTAAATTAGCTCACTCTTACAATAATTTACTATAGCAGACCATGGAGAACTGTGGTTAATGATGTTTCTAATTCAGTCTCTTATGTGATGATGTTGTTAAATGTGTTTGTCTTGTTGCAGTCTGGATAAAGCTTTACATTCAGCTGGTATCAGCACTGGATTTATCATCTTTGGGACCAACTTAACCAACCCTCTTAATGAGCTACTGCTGGCGCTGCAACCGGTGAGCAGCATCCTCTCTTTCTTTTGTCTCTAGAATCACAGTGTGTCCTCAAGTACTAGTGGCAGGTTGTGTGCAACCAGAGTTGTGTAATGGCTCGGGAGGAGGAGGTGCCAGAAATGGAATGCATTGTTCGCTTTGGTATTACTACGACACTTAGAAGTAGCAGCCGTGGATGTGTCGCAATAGATGTGAAGAATGCGATCTGCTCGGCGTAGGCAGTTTCTGCCGAGACCGGCAGCATTGAGAAATGCATGATTCTCTAATTGGCAAGTTCACACTGTCATTCAAAAAGTTCGGACACGCCTACTCATTCCTTATTATTGCTAGTTCCTTCATTTTTCAATTGTATTAAAGCCATTAAATCTATAAAATAACATAAATTGAAAGTATAAAATTATGTATTAACCAATATATTTTGAATAAAGTTCATGGGGGCATTTTGAATACAGATTTTTTTTTTTTTTTTTAAGCAGTATTGAAAAGCTTTACATGATTCCTAGACCCTGTGTTAAAATTGTTGTAAATAATTGTTCCAGCGAAAAGTTTGGGGCTCATTAACGCATTTTTTTTTTTTTGTACTCAATATGAGAAATCTCTTATGCAGTGTTGGGGAAAGTCCACCCCTTGAAATCGCTGGTGTTTCTGACATCCCAAACTGCCTTGTAACTAATCACGCCAACGAGTGGATCTCTGAGCTAGTGTGTGAGTGAGTGGGAGTGGGGCTAATTTGAATATTCATAGAACCGGGTATACTACATAAGTGTGTAGAGTTACATTCCAGCAATTTTAAGGCAGGAAGAAAATTTTTTTTCCAAGTAAAAAATGTTTAAATATGTCATTCTGGTGATCAAAGATTAGTTTTAAGAGATACAATTATTGACTACAGGAGGACTTTAAAAGTAATGCTTTACAACACTATGTTACTGCCTAAAAAGAAACTAATTGCATTACATAATTACTTTTTATGGGAAGTAATGCTTTACTTTTTCTTTACTGGGCTGGGCTGCACGTGCTTGTTTTTTTTAAATAACAAAAAAGTTCTATTTTTTTGTCAAATATGAAGGCCCTTTCACACCAAAAGTGAAATGAATAAGCTTTAGGCTGAAGGAAATGCAAATTTACGCCTATTCAGTAGAGGGAGCAGAAGAATTGGATGCAGGAGAAGAAAGTTTAACAGGCTTACTTAAAGGGGGGGTTGACTGCGATTTCACTTTTTTCATTTTAAATAGTGTGTAATGTTGCTGTTGGTGCATGAACAGTATCTGCAAAGTTGCAGCGCTGAAAGTTTAGTGTAAGCAGAGATATCGTCTTTTTAAAATCAGGAAGTTTAATGCCTAAAAAAACGACTCGATTGGGACTAGCTGGGTTTTAGACGTCACTAACCCACACATTTACATCAACCCTCCCCCCGGAAAATGCAAAAAAGGGCATGCATATTCCTGCGGCTCGTCGAGTCTGTGATGTTCACCCAGATGTCAGGTCTTCTGTGTTCGGGCTTCCCACAGACGCTGTACTTCGTCAACAATGGATACAATTTATGTTTGATTATGTTCCTGAAAATGACGATCATAATTTAGCTCTCTGTGCTGCGCATTTTATGGAAGACAGCTTCCAGAATCTCCACGAGTTCAATGCCGGATTCAACAAGAAACTGTTACTAAAACATGAAGCAGGTCCAACTTTAAAACCAGAGGCAGCAGTTGTTGGGCCACAACCTGTAAGTAGGTTAAGTAGGTTTTTTTGTTTTGTTTGTTAAGTCATACAGTGCAAATGTAAGTCAAAATGTTTGTTAAGTCATACAGTGCAAAAAGAAACAAGAAACAAACAAAAAAACAACAACAAAAAACAAACAAAAAAAAAACAAAAAAAAACAACAACAAAACAAATCGAATTCTACCTGAAAGGGAGTGGGAAGAAGAAAACTTATTTAATCCCACCCCAGTTCACCACTTGGTGATTAATACATTAAGCTTCATGTTTACTTTGGTCACGGATTGTTTACATAGGTTGTATCATGGTGGCTTTACCACAGTCACAATAATTTATTATAACAACATTATCAAACAATTTAAGAAGAATAAACAATACCAACTATGGTAATGAACAATATACCAATGATGGTAATGGACAATATACCAACGATGGTAATGGACAATATACCAACGATGGTAAGGAAACATTGAGCACATGTTAACATTATAAGACAGAGTACAACATCAACTTAATCATTTAAATGCATTTGCATGTATAATTCCAGACGTAGCCTTGTGTTTTATTTTATCAAATGCCAGCGCTGGCTTTATTGCCACTAGGCTACTAGTTATGCTATTTTGTGTCTACGACAAAAGCGTACAGACATTATGGACCTGAATTTTGTATAAGTACTAATGTTTTAAACATATTTTTCATGTATATATGTTTATGACGTTATTCTCGATTTGATCAAGAACGTAAAACAATGCCAACGCTGTTTGTGAATAACATTAGTAGCCAGTCAGTTGCTATTATTGCCAGTGAGATGCTATTGTGTTAAACAAAAGTGTATAAAGTTAAAAAATGTAGCAAATTATCATTCAGAAACGTTAGTAAGAGCCGTGTGTGGTGAGGTTCTGTTTGCCTCTCTTCATCGCCGCTTTCTCGGTCTGATTTTGCCTCAAACTGATACCGCAGTTCGACACCATTATTTACATCTGGACCGGAGCGCAGGCACGTTTCACCCGTAAAGGTAATGGGCGTTAATCTTCCGGACAACGTGAGCGACAGTTTAGCCAATCACAACACACCAGCCCAAACTAACCAATCGGAGCCCATTACGTGTTTCTGAGGGAGCGGTTTCATAGACTCAGGAAGTCAACCAGTCGTTCGAGGACAGAGGAGAGCGCTGCTTACAATAAAGGTGAAGTTTATGGAAAATAAGACTTTTTAAAAAAGAAAAAACACAAATACATGTTATATTGCACCCCATAAACACAATCATGCAAAGAAAAAAATCAGTAAACCACCCCTTTAAGAAATACAATTAGATTAAATATATAGAGTATATTTGTATTATTTAACATATTTAATTATTGCAGGTTTGTGTAATATTCTGAGTTTGCATTTAAGGGATATTGAATATGTTTTGTGCAAGTGAGATGAGTAAATACCTGCTTACATTTAGTCTAGAATTATAAAGACCATCATGTTTGCACTGCGCAAACGCCTCTGCACCTTTACTCTCAATTTCTCACAACATGGGGACAGGAGAGCTGTCAGTCAATACATCGAAACACAACTTAACTTGTTACTTATTTAAACTTTATTACGTAACTGACATTTACTTGTAACATGTGCAACAGGTTCACCAGCAGGGCTGCAATTATTTGAAGAAAATACAGTAAAAACATTGTGAGATAATATTTAAAACAAAAATATAGTAATATTGTGAAATAGGATTTTAACCAAAAAAAAACAAAACAAAAAAAAACAGTAATATCATACAATTAAATTTAAAATGTAATGTCATTCTTTTGATGACAAAGCTTAATTTTCATCATCATTAGATGCCAGTTCATCTAGTTTGTATCTAGTCGAAGTAGAAACCAGGAAATGTGTTGCCACTGAGCCATAATTCCACATTCTGCAAGTACAAAGCTGTACATTGACCTTAAACAGCTTGGAGCTTGGTCTGTGGCTGCTTGCCTCATAAAAAGATGTGATGACCTCTGAATTAAGTGCTATTATGACTTGGAAATAAGTAATAAGTACGCTTTTCATCATTTAGTGCTATTGGGTGAGATTTTAAATCCTTCAATCTTTTTCAAGTAGGGCAATGATCAGTTTCCATGTGCTTGAATAAAATATGATCGCTTGTTTTATTCGCTACTTAAGATGGCTTGATTAAACCAAATTGTTCAGGAATCCAGACCATTGATTTCAGCAATGAAATGTGAAAAGGGAAAAAGAAAAGTAATTTGCAAAGAGATAAGACATGCAGGCCAGAGAATTATTGCTCATGCTTCCAGAAACATTTCTAATTTGTGCTTTGTGATGTCACCGACCATATTCCATTCTTGATATGAGGGCAACAGGTAAGGTCAGTGTGTGTTTTGCTCATTAAAAAAAAAAAAAAAAAAGCTTTTCAGCACCAGTGGAGTTATGGAGGACAAGCTGCCAACAGAAGAGGCATTGTCATTTGTATGAGCCAGCAGCTCTTCCAGGAAAAAGAGGACCATTTTTAGCTTGACTTTCAAACAGTTCTAACATGTAATTCCTGTGGCTCTTTTGAGAGGAAATGTATTGAAAATAGTCGGAATTGTTGAAAGATTACCTCGGTTGTGTGAAGCAATCCATCTCTCGCACAGGAGTGGCAGTATTTTAGGCCACCACTGAGAATGTGAGTGTATATATATATATATATATATATATATATGTATATTTATATGTGTGCCTTTGTGCCTCCAGCATTGTGATGTTTGGGAAACATATATAACTTACTCTAAAAAAACATTCTGGTACACAAGGAAAAGGCACTGAAAGCGGACAACACTTCTAGTCATCTTCATTGTCAAGTTAATAGTTCTTTTAGTTAATACTAAAGCCCACACTAAGTGTTTGTTGTGTGTGTAGTTGAATAGTGAGTATTTTGTAGCCCTTGAATGGAGTTCGGGAGTTACTGTTGATGTTTCTCTTTCTTCTTCAGGTATTTCCACTAGACTATGTTCTCATCACCACCATCACCATGTATTTTGTCTTCACCTCCATGGCCGGGATCCGTAACATGGGCATCTGGTTCTTCTGGATACGGGTGAGACACAACGTCGTTTCTTTTTCATCCTCATTTACCTGCTTTATTAGGGTTATTGTACTGAATTTTAGTGGTTACAGTTTGTATAGGCCAAAGGTAGTTTAAAGGAACACTCTGACTTTTTGGGACTTAAGTTTATTCACCATATCCCCCAGAGTTAGATAAGATACCTTTTTCATTTCTGTGCGTGCTGTAACTCTGTCTGACGCACCCAGCGCTAGCTTAGCTTAGCACAAAGACTGGATGTAAATGGATACAGCTAGCATACTAATCTCAATAAGAGACAAAATAATGCAAACATTTTCCTATTTACATGTTGTTATTTGTATAATCATAGAGTGTACAAATAACAAGGTCATATGAGACACAGCCCTCTTTTTACTGTATAAATATTGGGAACTATATTGTCAGAAGGCGAAGCACTGCTACTTGGGCAGAGTGATTACCGCAGCACCTGTGCCGCTCTGTGGTGACGAGCAGAGAGTTCATTCAGAGTTGGAGTATAGAGTCAGCAATTACTAAATAGTAAAAGCATAGTTTACAATCATGGGTGTAAGTTGTATTGTAAAGAGCTACGACAATAAACAGGGGAGACGAGGTAATACCATGTATATTTAATAGAATTCCAACCAAAAACGCTGACCCGATGAATCAATGGCTAAGTTAACTTCGAAGCCTGTAATTTTACTCAAATTTACTGACTTATCTCCCGGATATGACGTAAATAAAGCCCTCTGATGATTGGAAATTTACTTCCATTATAGGTCTAGCTGCATGACATACTATGATAATACTATGATGTTTCATAGAATTTCAACCAAAAACGCATCCTGGCCAATAAATATCACATAGCATGAATAAAGAATTATTATTACAGTAATCAATATATTCTAAATTGCTGAACCAAATGTATTCAACAGCATATAATACAGGAATGTTAGATACTTGCATTACGATAGGCTATAATAAAGGGAAAGTAATACCACAAGGCAAAATGTTTTTTTGCACAATGAACCCACAGTAGCCTACCCATACTCGACAAGGTCACTGTTTCTCAAAAAAAAAAAAAAAAAAAACGATTCATTAGCAAGGTGGCTGAGTTTAGCTCTTGTTCCGCTCATTTGTTACTAGGAAAGTTGAAAATCACCAGAAGAGCAAAAACAAAAAGATTGATTAGATGGAGATGAATGACGTGTATAGCAGCATGTGGTAAGGAACTTTATTCTATTAATGTCATGCAGCTAGACCTATTATGAAAGTAAATTTCCAATCATCAGAGGGCTTTATTTACGTCATATCCGGGAGATAAGTCAGTAAATTTGAGTAAAATTACAGGCTTCGAAGTTAACTTAGCCATTGATTCATCAGGTCAGCGTTTTTGGTTGGAATTCTATAAAACATCATGGTATTACCTTCTGACAATATAGTTCCCAATATTTATACAGTAAAAAGAGGGCTGTGTCTCATATGACCTTGTTATTTGTACACTCTGTGATTATACAAATCACAAAATGTAAATAGGAACATGTTTGGGTAATTTTGTCTCTTATTGGGATTAGTATGCTAGCTGTATCCATTTACATCCAGTCTTTGTGCTAAGCTAGGCTAGCCGTCATCAGAAAGAGTTACAGCACGCACAGAGATGAAAAAGGTATCTTATCTACCTCTGGAGGATATGGTGAATAAGCTAAAGTCCCAAAAAGTCAGAGTGTTCCTTTAAAGTTATTTAAGGAAGGTTATAACAACAATAACTTTTGTATATCTTAAGCCTGATTTATTTATATACATATAATTATATAATTCATAATAAGTTAAATACATATTTAACTAATTAAAAAATAATGTAATAAATCAGCAATAAATATGGTACATTTTATTTATTTATTTATGAATGTGAAATTGACTAACGATGTTATTATAGTGTGTATCTATAAAATGTAGATATGCTGACAAAATAGTAATTATTAATACATAGTCATATGCTGATTTAAATTAATTCATATTCCAATTAGTACTACATATTTAACATTAATAACAAAAATATTAAACCAATTAAATCAATATTTTTTTATTACAAATCGAAATCCAATGTGAACTGCTGGGTAAGTGTTGGGTAGCAGACCTCAGTAGCACACAAAGATTTATGGATTGGAAGAATTACTTGGAATAATTCTGATAATTAATTTGAACAACTTTACTTTCTACTATAACTGCAGCTTTTGACCATCTTACTTGGAAAAATGTTTTCATTTTAGTTTTGAGCCTCCATATTTTCAAAGTATCCACTATAGCAGTGAGGATGCTCTTACCTCTCCTTGTTTTTGTTGCTTTCAATACAACATTATTTGTATGTATATAATTGTATATGTACATTTATGCAGTCCATAGTGCTGTAGACTCATAGCACTCAGTCATATCAGTAATATAAGGATGTTTTGTGTTTCTTTTTATGCAGCTGTATAAGATCAGGCCTCAGAGAACCCGACCGCAGGCCCTCCTTTTCCTCTGCATGATCCTCCTCCTCATCGTCCTCCACACCAGCTACATGATCTACAGTCTGGCCCCGCAATACGTCATGTACGGCAGCCAGAAATACCTGCTGCAGGTAAGATGTGGGTTTGTTTGTGTAACAGTCAATCCCTTGTGCTGCGCTGCATGTGGATTACAGGATTACAGCTGTCTTGTTCTGAGCAAACGGGGCCCACGCCGGTGACATAAGTGTGTAATGATCAACCCTTTACAAAGCAAGTGTCTGAAAGCATTTCAAAACCTTCTCTCCCTACTGTCTTCAAAAACCATTAAAAGCCTTTCTGCATCCATCTTTTATTTATTTATTTATTTATTTATTTATTTTTGCTTCTTCAAAGGTCCGTACATTTATGTGATGTTACAAACTGTCTGATGTCTTTGACCCGCTCAAATGAGAACGCTTGCCCTCGTGTTCTTTCCTGTGAATCTATTCATCCTTGTCATATGTAGCCTTGCAACTTTTTAGCAAATTGCAGATTATCCTGGCCAAGAACCACCCACTTAGACAGGATGAGACCTTCAGACCTACACGTGACGCCTCCGTCCACATTTGTGCTAAATGATACCAATAGTATAGATTATTGTGTGTGTGTGTGTGGGGGGGGGGGGGATTACACTAGGCATCATGTGATCATTCGGACTGTGAACGGCCCATGGGCATCTGAGGCTGAAACTGACAAATTCTTCATCAATCAAATCTGATTTCTGTTCACTTCCTGGAAGGGTAGCAGTCATTCTGCGTATATCCAGTGGTGCATGTTGTCCCGTTTGATTACTTCCAAAAGTTATGCTGCCTTTACGTAAATACAAGCTCAAATGAAGAATAATTTGACAAGCTGTCGGAAGGCTGATGGAGCAGAACTTTTGCTGAGGACAGAGAAGGAAGAACAGCTCGCGGCAAGATCAAACCTCCCGTTCTACTCGGCAAACATCGCAGCATGTGTCGAAATCTGGCCAATTACATCTGTCCTTCGCACCTCTGCAGCTTCAGATATAAATATTGAAACATGCTTAAACGAATAACCGAGAAATACATGTGCTTTGCAGGGTTTTGCGCCATGCACAATTGAATTGAGAATGCTTTTTAAATTCCAATTGAATTTCTGAATTGGAACTGAGGGAACAAACGTGATGCAGAATTAGATTTTAAATTGAAATGGTAGGGAGAGTGATTTACTGAAGTGCAATGAAAATGAACTCGTATAACTGTGATTTTTAGTAGATAGAAAAAAAGTATTGTTTTAATTCATGTTAATGATGTATTATTTAATTTTTTTTTTTTAAATTATCATTTTTTGATTATTTTGTTAATATATATTTTTATATATTTATACATTGGTTTTAATTTTGGCACACAGTAGCAGATGGAAAAACATCATAAGAAAGTACACATTGATTTTTAGTAGATAGAAAAAAAGTATTGTTTTAATTCATGTTAATGATGTATTATTTAATTTTTATTTTTTTAATTATATTTTTTTGATTATTTTGTTTATATATATATATATATATATATATATATATATTATATATTTATACATTGGTTTTAATTTTGGCACACAGTAGCAGATGGAAAAACATCATATTTTTTTTACACATTAAAAAAAATAGTCACTGGTAAAACACCTGAAATAATACTGTAAAATGTGTGTATTGTATAAATAAATAATAGAGGATACTAGATAGATTAATGAATCCTGCACAATAAGACCAGGAATGTGTATTAAGAAAGAAATTAGTGTCACTTTCTAAATTCTTGTGATATTAAATGGTGAAACACTTGGAGATTTCTGAATCGGAAGACAGTATGAATCAGATTTTTGCAAGCATAATTTATTATTAAAATGAATTATTTGACTCATTATTACACTAACCCATATAGTTCATGTATTTACTTTTAAACAAGTGAGGTTTACTCATACTCATAAACATCTATATTATCTCCAAGCACTTGGAATGTGTAATTGAAACTCTATTTGAATTTCTGAACACATTCCCATAATCTAATAACCCAAAAAGTCAGTCTTCCTCTTATAATTAGTATGTGTCGTAAAGAATTCTGCAGAATGAGTCAGTCAGAACTTTGTTTTTAGTTTTCTTGTAAAAGAGGGTTCTAGAAATATAAGTGCTATTTGTACTATAGGCTGTTGTTTTAGCACCAGTTTACTTAATGAATTATGCCAATTGGGTTTGATTATAAAGCGGCTCTTTAAAATGACAAAAGTGTGCTCAACAACTCTACATGTTTACGTATATGGCAGGTTAAATTGCTCTTCTCCATCATCTGATGAATTACTACTGCCATCAATGCAAACATCTTTTTTTTTTAATGAAATAGCTTTTACTGATTGCTTTCACTTTAGCGCTAATAGTGCCATTCACGTGTCATTGTGCCAGGAATATAGAATAGAGGTTTTTTTTTAATATGGTGCAGTGTAATAAGTCTAATTTAAATAGAAAGGAGGCATTGTAAAGATTTATAATGACTTAATTTAAACACTGCAAGGCTATTAAACTGGATTGCAGGGGATTAGTGAATATGATTTTACACTGAAACAATTTGCACATAACTGTCTGGTGTATTTGTCCTAGAATGTAGTAAGTTATCAAGTGAGCATTAAAAAAAGAGACAAATATCACACCTGTCACATTTCTGTCTTATTCTCATGTAAAAAATAAATAAATAAATAAAATAAATTGCATAGGGTTAACTTGTTAGTCATATTCCATAGATTAGTTTGGTCTTATTGTTTTTTTTGTTTTTGTTTTTTCCCTAGACCCCAGTGCCTACAAACTCATCACAGGGCAATCACTCTGCTGCCATCACCAAGATATGCGACGCAGACGCTCCTGAAGGTAAGACTTGTATTGTTTATCACCCACAGAGTGACCAACGTCAGTGGATAACGATTCATCATTCCATATAGGAAAGTTGATGAGAGGTTTAAAGAGAGAGGAATATCAAGGAAGCTATCAAATAATAACAGAGGTTGTTTACACAGAAGTGAAATGTACAGTAGCAAAACGAGCCGAGAGGGCAGAACAGGGTCATGTATTTTTTTGTCTTTTGACAAGAAACTTTGACTTCGATTTATCGGTTACCTAACTTAACCATGGTTCTCTCTAGAAGAAGGAACAAGTATTGTGTAAGTTGTGCTTACGCTACGGGAAAGATGAATATTTTCAAGATATTGAAGCCAAAATTATCCTTAATTTGTGTATCAATTTTCAACGCTGGCTGCCCTGCGGCAATTGCAGCAGCCTACCACCGAGCCCGGCGTGACGTCACGCCCAATGAAGGGTGCTCGCGCCCTCATCGCGTCACAGCCCGCCAGAATGTGCGTGGCTCAGCGTATACAAGCAGGGGCTCGGAGGCTGTTTCTCTGGTTTTCATATACTGAAGCGAAAGTCGCTCGTGGCGCGAGCAGGGCAGGTTACACATATTCGTTCCCTCTTCTAGAGAGAACCGAGGTTACGTTAGGTAACCGATACGTTGCCTTATGAGAGTTTCTCTCTTATTGCGCAAGTTAGCTTACGCTACGCGAGTCCCAAGGTTTCCCAGGGAACCCAGATAAGTGGGAAATAAGGCGGCCAGCACTTTTACAAAAGCACTCATAGGGAATACAGAGCGGTGCAGTATTATAAGTGAACTAACACTATTATAAGTGAACTTTAGGTGAAAAAGGCAGTGTGTGGCTCCCTTGAAGAGTCTTTGGCTGTAGAAATGTGAAAACCCACATTTCCTGCACCTTGGTTCCTTAAGTATTGTTTCCAACTTCCCATGAATGATCTCTGCTATTAACAACAACAAAAATAACACAAAAAGTAAAGATTTCTAAGCCATGTCCTATCAACCAACTCTGAGATGAATGACTACAACACAAATTTTTAATTTGAAATAAATAAATAAATAATTCTAAATCTAAAAAAAAATCAAAAGAGCTTATTTTTCAATAAATTAATAGTTTTATTCAGACTCTTTGTACTTTTAGTTGCTTACATTTGTTTATATTTCAGGATTTATATTTCAAATAAAGTTCGTTTAATTAAGTTTTACATCGTTCAAATAGATTATAAATAGAATACATCGTGAGATTGGATCTCTTCTGCCACGATTTACGTTTTCATGGTAACAGCAATTATTGTCTTCAGAATTATTTTGGCAGTTTAGTTCTTCATTGGGAATTTTGCAACTACATAACTGAAATCACACTCACTTCTAAAGAAGCATATATCATCCATTAACAACCTCAGTGCTCATAGTGGGTCTTGTTTGAAAGATGTATATGTTATTGTTGAACATCAGTTTCTCTGTGGTGAAAATGAATATGATTTTTACTTCTGAAACCCAGCGGTTGTGCTGTTCTCACCCATTATATGCAACAGTCTGATATTTACGTGTTCTTTCTGAACTGTGTGTGTCCTCACAGTGAGGTGGCCATGCAAATACAAGCTTGACTATATATCAGTCGCCCCCTTATCCAAACAGTTCTAAATGTTTATTTGTATGTCTGTTATGAAGAGATGAGCCGAGTACTCAGTAAATAGAATGAAATGGATTTTGCAGAGGACAGTTTGCATATAAGAGGCAGCAGCATTAATGATGATAGATGTGAGATGAAATCGTAAACCAGCAGGAGACAGTCTCAGAATCTGAATAGGAGATACAATTCTCTTCAGGTGCGATGGACCATTGTGTTTCTGTACTGCTGTATCTGTTTTAAACTGTTTGGTTTCATGTGCTCAGTCAAGGCAATGTCTTGATAATACTAAGATATGAAGATGCCTGCATACCATGACCCTTGCAGCTTTGCTCGGTTTTCATTACGAAAGGGCGAGATGGCAAATAGCACAGTCTGTCCGAGAGATATCTACATTAATTAAAATGTTGTAAAATTAGTGGCTTAAACCAGCGAAAGTGTTAATTACGTTCTATAAGGTTAATTGCCACCATACGTTTCTAGTCAATTGCTAATAGATCTGTGTGTTTTGAGTGTGCGGTGCACAAAGGCAGATTCTAGATCAATGTATTATAGAGACTGCAGTCAGAGATTGTATTCTCATGATGGCAGAAGAGGGGGAAATGCGATTTAAAAGTGCCGGATTTACAGGAAAAGCTTTGATTTAATGTTTTAACAGCGAGATGTCATGCGATGCATTGTGACTAGTGATTCTAAGCTTTTCAACATCTAGTTAATTCAATACTAGGTTTGTCTCTCAGTGTGTTTTTGACACATTTTATGAGATCAACTTCAAACCCTGGGAAATAGAGCCATAAGTTATTCCTTAATGTCACGGTGGATTCAGATGGGATTGGTTATGGTTTGACATACTGCCATCCAGCCTGAGTGTGCAGTCATGATACTGTTTTCCATCCAGAGGAGGGCACTCTGATATTACAATCCGATCTCATTGAAGGATTTTGGAATAATAGTGGAATCAAAAATATTAATATGCAATTGGATCAGTGAACCAAGAAGAAGTGGCCAATCTTCCTTAATGTCCTTAAGACGTGTCCCCCATCAGCTGTAACCTTTCCTAAAATACACCTCCCTGTGCTGGGCTATATTCCACCTTCTAATTGCTTCTCACTCTCTTCAAGTCCTCGGATTCTTCCAGAATATCGTATTGACAGGCTGAGAGTTTCCTGTACTCCCCATTTTTATAGGCTGCTATAAAAAATTCAGGTCATGTTAGGCCTGACTTCAGCCGCAAAATGATCGTATTAGCTAGCTTTCTGAAGTAAATGTAAGTGTTGCTTGCTCAAAACTCACTCTCACGGTGGTTGCTGTGCGGTTGCTAAATTGTTCTGATTCTGAATAGCTTAAAACATGTTTCTTTGCTGTTGCTAGGGTGTTCTATTTGGTTCAACATGGTTTTAGCATGTTTCTACACTGTTACAGCTCGGATCCATTCCGGGTAAATATATGCCACTTGTTTTATCACCTGCCAGGTGAAAAAGTCAGATTGCTCTTTTCAGTTATAGCCATAGACTGTAAAAAATATGGACAAAGCGTCTGTGACGTTTGAAGAACGGGTTTGAAGCTGTTTATGGGCGGCGCCATACTGGAAAATCTTGGAACATACAAAATACAAAAGTTTCAGAAATGATACAGAGGTGGTATGATGTGTAGTGTCCAGTGTTGGGAGTAACGCATTACAAAAGTAATACATTACAGTAACATATTACTTTTTGCTGTAAGGCAGTAGTGTAAGGCATTACTAATCAATTTTCAGTAATATTTTACTCGTTACATGTTCAGTGAGGCTTGTATTACAGTTGTATTACAGTGTATTGTCTGCTTTTACTTCTTAAAGGCAACAGATTATGTGAAAGTTTTAAAGCAGTCTTTTAGTGCCGGTTCAGAGCGGTCGCGTCTGTAACATTGTTTTTTCCTCATAAACGAACACGAAAACTAAAATAAAATTAATATTTTAAGTTCTATGGAGACTGAAGAGCCAACCCTTCCTCATCTGATTTGCGCAGTGTAATTAACAGAATTACAAAAAATCGATTTTGCCTCCTATTTTTTTGTCATGCATGAATGTGTGTCTTTTCCCTAATATTAAAAATAAAACCGACTGATATTTGTCTAATGTCTGGAGTCCTTTAAGGAAGTAGCCTATATACGTTTCAATACATGTATTTTCTGAGAATTTTAATTTCAAGTTTTGACTGCAAATGTCATGTCCATAATGCTGGACCCAATTTTAAATAAATTATCCTCAACTAGTTTTGTGGTGTAGGTTTACGTATTTTATAATGTTAACTTCAAATAATACTAATAGCCTAATTTAAAGATAAGGCAGCATTGGATCTGGACGGTAAGGAGAATAACGCTGGAGTTGGAAGAGGTGTGTCGCGAATCTGTAGGTTCGTGGATCTGAGTCGTGTGGCGAATCGCGATTTCGGTTTCATATCGCATATCGTTACAGCCCCAAAGTTAAGTTCTACTTAGTTATTTTGGTGAAAGTAACTCAAAAGTAATACATGAGTAATGTAACGCATTACAATTCTGAGACAGTAATATTGTAAGGTAATGAATTACTTTTAAATAACAGTAACAAGTAATACCTAATGTATTACAGTTTGGAAGTAACTTGCACAACACTGGTTGTGTCAGATGATGGCCGAGACGTCAAATTCACTCGGCACAGCCCGTTATCAGCTGTCAATCAAAGTTAACCGCCCTTATTTGTAGGGTTGGGTATCGTTTGAATTTGAACGATTCTGATTCCGATTCCTTGTTTCGATTCCGGTTCCTAACGATTCTCGATTCCGATTCTTTTAAGAGGCAGGGTCAAAAAAGTTTAGCTAACCAACGGCCTTTCTGAAGGAAATACTCCTTCTGTAAAAATACTCCTTTTGTCACAAATTTAGCATTTTGCCGAGATTTCGTTATTTTTAGAAAAGTGAAGCCACACTTTGGATCGTCGACGTAAGCTACTCATGTTTGACTCGCGTGGTTATGCCAACACTTCCGGTAGACGCTTCTTCGTTGGTGTTGTTCAGCGGTTTCTTCTTCCGCTCGGCGGACTGTGAATATCGAAACTAGGAATCGAAATTTTTACTTTTGAACGATTCCGGGAAAAACGAAAAGTTAGTCTCGGTTCCAATCGATACTCGATTCTCGATACCCAACCCTACTTATTTGTCATATGTTTTATATCTAAATATGATCTAAACTAACGAGTTAGAAAAAAATTCACCCCCCTCACAGTTGTCAGGCACGCGGAACGTATTGAAGATTACAATAAAAGTCCATGGGACCATACTGTAAACATATGAATTTATGCTGTGAAAACGGACATTATAACATGACGTCTATGGATATTTGCTCCCTTTTGGGACCGGC